TATGTGAGCATACAGCTTTGCCCCTGATTGAACCTGATGGGAAATGCAATGAATTATGGGTTTTCCTTCTTAAGCCCCTGCCATACTTGATTCTGGGTCATTTCCTGGGAACCTGAATATGAACCTAGCCAGAGTCCATCCACCTGGCCAGTATTTAATTAAAGTTTGCTTCAAATTTGGCTTTAAACTGTGTTAGTGGTCTTATTCTTGATTGGCAGGATTAACAACACTTCCTTCTAATCAATGGGATAATTAGCCCAGAGGACATCACAATCCTAAACATATACGCACCGAACATTGGGCTTCTCAGCTTCAAAAAATGCATACTACTGGACTTAAAAACACAGATTAATCCTAACTCAATGATAGTGGGTAATTTTCAATACCTCACTTTTCCCAGCAAACATTATCTGGACAAAAAACAAACAGAGAAACATCAGAATTAAATGACATCAAATGGACCAAAAGATATCTATAGTATATTCCACCCTAACATCAATGAATATGCATTTTACCTGGCAGCCCATGGGAGCTTCTCTAAAATATATATACTGGACACAAAACAAATCTACACAAATTTGAATAATTGAAATAAATCATGTATTTTGTCTGACTACAAGGCAATAAAACTTATAATTAACAGTAAATGCATCTCTAGTAAAAATACAAATCCACAACGATTAAACAACACATTAATGAATAATGAATGGGACAAAGAGGAAATCAGTGAAGAAAAAAGAAATTATTAGAACTAAATGTAAATGAAAATAAAACATAAAAGAACCACCAGGACACATTTAAAAAAAAGAATTAGGGAAATTTATCTCTAAGCATCCATAGCACAAAACTAGGAGGAGCATAAATAAAGGCCTTTATGATGCAACTCAGAAATTTATAAAAACAAGAACAAATCAAGCAAAAATTCATTAGAAGGTAAGATATAATAAAAATCAAATCAAAAATTACAAAATTAATATATAAACAAGTACAAGGCATCAAGTACGAGGGAAAATAAACAAGTTCAACAGATTATTTCCCTAACTAACCAAAGGAAAGAGAGAATTCAAATTAATAGAGTGAGAGATAAAAAGGAAACATTATAACTGACATTAAAAAATCCAAAATATTTTGAGGAAATACCTTAAAACCCTATCTATAAGCTATTAAAATGGACCTTATAAAATAAATGGACAGGCTTTTAAATTCATTCAAACCACCAAATATGAGAGAAGATTAACAATCTAAACAAATAAGATGATCTAAATAGTAATAAAAGCTTTCTCATGAAAATAGGCCAAGGCCCAGATGGATATACATCAGCATTCAACCAAATTTTCAAAGAAGATCAACAACCAATACTTTTTAAATTACTCAAAAAAATGAGAGCAGAAGGCGCTCCCCCAAATTCATCCATGAAACTAATATAACTCTTATAGGAAAAGCAAACTAACAAACACAAAATTAGTACAACATCTCTGGATTAACATAGATTCAAAGTCCTCAATAAAAATACTTGCAAGCCAAATAAGGAACATATTTGAAAAAGATTATACACCCTGATCAAGTCGGCTGAGATGCAGGAAAAGTTCTACATAGCTATAATAAAAAGAAAAAATTGGCATAATTCAAATGCAAAAACAAAACAGAACAAAAAGACATTTATATCAGTGGAAGAAAACAAAAAACCCAAATATAGGTTCATGTGGTTACAATCATCTGATATTTGACACAACTACATTCTGGAAAAAAGACCTACCTCTTCTTCAGCAAATGGTGCTGAGAAAACTGGATGTCGACATGTAGAAGAACTAAATTAGATCCATAGCTATCACTTTGCACAAAACATAAACTACAAATGAACAAAGACTTTAGTATAAAACTTGAAATGAAGAAGCAAGGAAACAAGCAGCATCTTATAAGACACTGCAGTAGAAAAGTACTTTCACAAAAGGACCCTATTTTCCCAAGAATGAAGGCTGACAGATGGGGCTTCATAAACATAAACACAAACATAAACATAAAGCTAAAACACTGTGCATAACAAAAAGTCAGATGAGTGGAGAAGAAGCCCCCAGAGTGAGAATCTTTTCCAGCTATACATCTGACAGACGATGGAAGCTCAGAACACACACACACACACACACACACACACACACACACACACACGACGAGAAAACAAGCATTCTAACAATTGAAAAGTGGATTACTATGCTGAGCAGTGGTGGCGCATACCTGTGATCCCAGCACTTGTGGGGCAGAGGCAGGTAGAGCTCTGTGAGTTTGAGACCCACCTGGTCTACAGAGATAATTCCAGGACAGCTAGGGCTATTACACAGAGAACCTCTGTCTCAAATTTTTTTTAAAAAAAGTGGACTGTATCTCCTAACAGAGAAGATTCAAAAGAAGAAATAAAAATAACTAATATCTCAAAGATGTTAGGCATCCTTAATAATTAGGGATATAAAAATAAAACAACTTTGAGAATTCAATTGCAATAGATATTCTTGGCTATCAACTTGTTTATATCTGGAAGTAACAAATACCAAAATGTCTGGGCACACCTTTGAGGGCATTTTTTTAAAATTAAATCATTTGAAGTGGGAAGACAAACATTTAATCCACATCTTTTGATGTGGAAAAATTCACCTTTAATCTGCACCACACCTTCTGATGGAAGCCTATATAAAGGACATGGAAAAAAGGAAGTGTTCACTCTTTGCCTACTTGCTCTTGATGGCAAGTCTATTCCTTCACTGGTATTAGAGTCTACTTCTTTCAGATTCTGATGTATACTGAAGAGCAAATGAGACATCCGGTCTCATGAACTGGACAATGACTGGATTCTTGGACCTTCCATTGGTAGACAGTCATTGTTGGACTATCTGGACCACAGCCAGTAAGTTATTTTGATATATCATTTGCATAAATCAATACACACACATACATATGTAGGTCTATGTGTGTTTATATGTGTGTGTGTGTGTACAATAATACACATTTTATAAGTTTCATCCCTCTAGAGAACCCCAATAAATCATCTTACCCCAGTCAGAATAGGTAAGATCAAGTAAACGACTGACAACAAATATCAATATGGATATAAGTATTGGTGGGATTGCAAACTGGTAAAGTTACTATGGAAGTAAGTGTGGAAAATTCTCAAATAGCTAAAAATAAAGCTACCATATGATTACTCCAGCATATGCCTAAAGAACACTATATCACAATTCATGGGTACCTGCTCAGTCATGTTCACTGCTGTTCTATTCACAATAGCTAGAAATGGAAACAACCTAAGTGTTCTCCAACTGAAGGATGAGGAAAGAAAATGCAGTATTACACACAATGAAATTCTACCCAGCTGTAAAGAAAAAAAATGAAATAACGAAATTTGCAGGTGAATGGATGGAACGGGAAAATATTATGCTGAATGAGGCAACCCAGACCTAGAATGACAAGCACTGCATGTGTTATCTGTGGATACCAGCTTCGAATCTTTAGATCTGAGTAAATAACCTAGAGCAACCGCAAATGACAGAAAAGTAAAGAGGGACTATGGTGGGAGGCACAAGCATTAGAGGGGGAGTAGCAGGACACAGCTGCTGTGAAGGAGAAAATGAGAAAAATGGGTCATGGAGACTAGCTTGGGGAGGAGCAGAGAGGGCACAGAGAGTGAGAGGAGAGACAAATAACACTAAGGATAGTTGATAATGCCATAAAGAATCATTTTATGTTTACTTTAAATTATATAAAGTATTAAGTTTATGTGCATATATAGAGATATATATGCTTCAGCTGAAGTTGCATTGCTTGGGGTAGCAATACTCCCCCTCAAAGCATAGCCTAACATAACCCCCAATGGCAGGCATGATAAACTTTATTTCAAATTATTGATCAGGAGAACCCGACAGATCCCCAAAATATTATAGGCTATGCCCTAGGTGTCTTCTGGAAAAAGAAGTTAGCGCACTAATACTAAAGGCACCCTTCAGACACAGGTCATGGAGGAGAACATACGGATGCCACTTTGATAAACCAGGATAGTTCCTAACTGCACTCTAAACACACACCTTCATGTCCACAGAAGGTTGCTCTCACCCCCTCTTCAAAGCAGCCTCTCTTCACAGCTGATAGATACAATTACAGAAATTGCTCATAATTACAACTGCTCATAGCACCAAACTACTAATCTTGAGGTGACCATTCCCACTTGATATATTTACAGAACAACCTCTATACTTTAGACCTAGGTGACATTATGGAAGAGGTGGCAGAAAGGCTGAAAGAGCCAGGTGGCCAGGACGTCTGTTGCAAGACAATTTCTTTTTCTTTTTTTTTTAAAATTTTAAAATTTTGCACAAATGGTGGAAGAGTAAAATAAAGGGATGGTATCTGTGGGAAGGTGTCATAAGAGGCTGCTGTTTGTTTGTTCCCGGCTGCTCAGCCCCAAAATAATCACACAGAAACCATATTATTTGCAATACTGTTTGGCCAATAGCTTAAGCATATTTCTGGCTAACTCATATCTCAAATTAACCCATCTCCATTAATCTGTGTATAACCACGAGGCTATGGCTTACCATGTAAAGTTCTAGCATCTGTCTCTGGTGGGGCTACATGGCTTCTCACTAACTCTGCCTTCCTTCTCCCAGCACTCAGTTTAGTTTTCCCTACCTAGCTTTACTCTACCCTATCACAGGCCTAAGACAGTTTCTTTATTAACCAGTTGTATTCACGGCATAGAGAAGAAAATAAAGGGGAATAAATGATATTAAAGATATATTTCAAAGAATTCTCAAAATTAGAATAAGATATATTATTTTAAAAATTAGGGCAGTTTTTTCTTGCACATATTTAGAATTCAGTTTCTTCAAACATATAATTTAAAATAAGTCAAAATCTAAGTGACAGTTTTAAAAGAAGATAAACATTCAATTAAACATAATCAAAGTAAGTGAATTTTTATCAACATAAAACCTGAAATGTAGTTTATTACATACCACAGCACTCAGGGCACTTTGGATGTTTCAGGATATTTATCCCATAACCGGGATAGCAGCGGTTAACCCACACCATTTGAAGGGTTCCTTCAATGTAGTATATTTCAGGCAGTGGCTCCATACGTTTGCCCAGGACTTCTACTTGCTGATTAAAAAATCTCTCTATGAGATTTTTAGCCTACATTTGAAATAGAATTTTAAAGATTAATTATCTGTAAGGCTAATATAAATTTAGAACAAATAATGTAGAGGAAAAAGTCTCAAATTTTTTATCTGTAGTTAAGATACATATAACACACAAAAAGGAAAGTCTACCATTCATTTTAAACAGTCAATTGTTTAAAGTTAAACACATTTATGAAATTAAATTTATTTAAAATATTTTATAAGTCACTAAGAAGTATGTATTCTATCACTGCCTTCCTTACTTTATGAAGGAAAATTAGGCTTATAAACAAGATAAAATGTGGTAAGTTCTAGCTCTTTGTTATAATTAAATTTACAAATACTAAGGACATCATTCTGACAGATATCTTGATATTGGCAATACTGGCTCTGACTTGGCTGCGAAGAGGAATAAGAGGCAGTGTTTTCCTTTATGGAGTCACACCTCTACATGAAATACAAAATAAGGTCATGAACTCAAACCCAATTTCCTCTACAACAAGAATCTGTACCTCCAGTCTAGTCAGAAGCACAGATAACTGGGCACACTGTTCTTGAACCTCAACTTGTCTGACTTCTTTGGATACTTTCATAAGTCTATTATTTCCATGAAAATTAAAGAATTATTAAACCCTTTTAAATAAGCTACACTCAACATAAATATAAATTGTGCTTTTCTATTACTCAATTACTTACATGTTTTCCCATATTAAATATTTTCCAATTTTGGTAAATTCTATCTGACAAATTTTTTACATTTATTTGGTCAAACATAATTTTCAGTTAAGGAAATACTAAAAGAATTAGTAATAGGAAGCTGGAGAGATGGCTCAGCAGTTAAGAACACTTGTCATTCTTACAGAAGGAATTGAGTTCCATTCCCAGCTCTCACATGGAGGTTCATTGTTTCCTGTAACTCCAGTTCCAGGGATCTAGTATACTCTTCCAGCCCTCAGTACATAGCACATGAAGTACACTTACATACATGCTTGGAAAATACTCATACACTTAAAACAATTATATACAATCTGATATCTAATTGCTAGCATTTAAAGGTGTTATTATTCAAAGTTTAAAGGACACAAATCACAATCATTCCGAATGTTATGCAAAAATAATTGTAAAATAAAAGCTTGTCAGAATCACAACTGATTGGTTAAAAGAAACAACACCCTTCACCATAGCTACAAATAGCATAAAATATCTCAGAGTAACTCTAGCCAAACAAGTGGAAGACTTAAATGACAAGAACTTAAATCTTTGAAGAAATAAATTGAAGAAGACACCAGAAAGTGGAAAGATCTCTCATGCTCTTGGGTAGGCAGAATTAACATAGTAAAAATGGCAATCTTATCAAAATCAATCCACAGATTCAATGCAATGGCCATCAAAATCCCAGCAAAATTCTTCACAGACCTTGAAAGAATGGTACTCAACTTCATATGGAAAAGCAAAATACCCAGGAGATAGCCAAAACAACCTTGCACAATAAAAGAACTTTTGGAGCCATCACAATCCCTGATTTCGAAATCTATTACAGAGCTACAGTACTGAAAACAGCCTGGTATTGGTATAAGAGCAGACAGGTGGACCAATGGACCCGAATTGAAGACCCGGATACTAATTCACACACCTACGAACACCTGATTTTTTGACAAAGACACAAAAAAATCAAATGAAAAAAAGCATATTTAACAAATGGTGCTGGCATAACTGGATATCAACATGTAGAAGAATGAAAATAAACCCATATCTATCACCATGCACAAAACTCAAGTCCATATGGATCAAAGACCTCAACATAAAGCCAACCACAATGAACCTCACAGAAGAGAAAGTGGGAAGTACACTTGAATGCATTGGCACAGGAGATCACGTACTAAATCTAACCCCAGTAGCACAGAGAGTGAGAGAAACAATTAATAAGTGGGACCTTCTGAAACTGAAAAACTTCTATAAAGCAAAGGACACGGTCAACAAGACAAAACGACAGCCTACAGAATAGGAAAAGATCTTCACTAACCCCACATCAGACAGAAGTCTGATCTCCAAAATATTCAAAGAACTCAAGAATTTGGTCATCAAAAGAACAAATAATCCAATAAAAAAGTGGAGTACAGACCTATACAGAGAACTCTCAACAGATGAATCTAAAATGGCTAAAAGACACTTAAGGAAATGTTCAGCATCCTTAGTCATCAGAGAAATGCAAATCAAAACAACTCTGATATTCCATCTTATACCTGTAAGAATGGCCAAGACCAAAAACAATGATGATGTGGGGTAAAGGAACACTCCTGTATTGCTGTGGGAATGCAACCTGGTACAGCCCCTTTGGATGACAATGTGGTGATTTCTCAGAAAATTGGGAAACAACCTTTCACAAGACCCTGTAATACCACTTTTGGGTATATATCCAAAAGAAACTCAGTTGTGCCACAAGGACATGTGCCCAACTATGTTCATAGCAGCATTTTTTGTCATAGCCAAAACATGGAAACAACCTAAATGCCCCTTAACCAAAGAATGGATAAGGAAAATGCAGTACATTTACACAATGCAGTACTACACAGCAGAAAAAAAAAAAAAAAACAAGTTCTTGAAATTTGTAAGCAAATGGATGGAGTTAGAAAACATTATTTTGAGTGAGTAACCCAGACGCAGAAAGACAATTATCACACGTACTCACTCACAAGTGGTTTTTAAACATAAAGCAAAGAAAACTGACCTACAAATCACAATCCCAGAGAACTTAGGCAACAATGAGAACACTAAGAGAGACATACATAGTTATAATCCACATGGGAAGTAGAAAAAGACAAGATCTCCTGAGTAAATTGGGAGCATAGGGACCTTGGGGGAGGGCTGAAGAGGAGGGAAGAGGCAGGGAGGGGAGCAGAGAAAAATGTAGAGTTCAATAAAAATCAATAAACAAAAACAAAGGCAGAAGTTCTTGCAAGTAAAGTTCTAAGGAAACACAACTGTCAATTCAAGCTATTATAATTGCAAAACTTTCTTTCCTAAGTAAAGGAAAAAGTAAAAACGTTCCATGATAAAAACAGACTGAAAGAGTATGACCATTAAACCAACTCTGCAAAAGCTATTGCAGAGGAATACTTCAAACTGACAAGAATAATAAACATACTCTAGAGACCAGAGGGAAAAACAGTGACAGGGTGGCGGAAACTTGTTTTTTTGTTTTTTGTTTTTTTCCTTTTCTCAATAAAAAAAAAAGAGAGATCTAAGGAAACAAAACAAAATTAGCAAAACTGCAAAAATAAATTCATCTCTCAATAAGAAATCTAAATTTTAAGTCTTAGTTCCCTATTAAATACTAGAGAAAATGACAGGATTCCCTTTTCCTTCTTCAAAGGAACACACCTCTCATGCTCAGGGATGGACACTAACTCAGAGAGTAAAAGGGTGAAATGGGGTATTTCTAGCAATGCAACTAAGAAACAATTAGGAAAAGTTATTCTAACAAATGACAAAAAGGACTTCTAAGACTTTTCAGAACACACAGTGAAAGTCTCTTCATACTCTAAAGGTATAATTCATCATGAAAATATGACAATTCTAAACACATACATCCCAACGAGGTACACTGAACTTCATAAAACAGACACTAATAGATATAAATCCACAGATCCATTTTAACACAGTTATACTAGGTAACTTCAATACATCATTTTCACCAACAGGCAGGTAATTCAGTCAAAAAATAGAGATACACTAGAGTTAAATAATACCACGAATCAAATGTACCAAACAGGTATGTATCTATATGAAATGTTCTAACATTGCACCCAAACACTAGAAATACACATTTTTCTTAGCAGTCCATAAACTTTTTTGAATATATTTGGAATATATTGGGCCAAAAATGACTCACAAAGAGTATAGAAAATGATATATTATATATTGCATTCTATTAAAAATATGAACATTTAAGAAAATACATAAAATATAAAAACTCATGGAATTTAAAACTGTACTATCGAATGCTGCATGGAGCACTAAACCAGATACAACAGAGCTGACACACACATGAACTCACAGAGACTGGCAGCATGAACAGGGCCTGTACAAGTCTATGCCAGATGGGGTTCTAGCACTGAGAAGGAAATAGACATGAACCCTTCCCTAATTAGAAGCTATCTCTAACTGATAGCCACTCTCCAAGAGTCTCACTGGGTACATAAACTACACTTAAGGGGCAGGCCCTATGATCAGCAAAGAGAGCCAACACAAAACAATGACATTTCTAGAGATATTTTATCTCCTAATTATTTGGGTACTTTTTATTTTTTACTTTACTTGTTGTCTGATGTGGGATGTCCTTCTATATATGTGTTGCTTTTATTGGTTGATGAATAAGGTGTTTCAACCAATGACTTAGCAAAGTAAAGTCAGGCAGAAAATCCAAACAAAGAGAGAGTAGGCAGAGTCAAAGGGACACCATGTAGCCAACAAAAGAGAAAGATGCCATAACAATACAGGCAAGCCACAGCCTCATGGTGATACACAGATTAATAAAAATCAGTTAATTTAAAATGTAAGAGCTAGCTATGAACGTGCCTGAGCCATTGACCAAATAGTGTTGCAACTAATAAAGTTTTTGTGTAATTATTCAGATCTAGGCAGCCAGGAAACAAAAGCACAGTCTCCTTTTACAAATGTCACCCAAACATTTGGCAAGAATTTCCACATAAAGCCTGAGAAAGCTTTTTTTAAAAAAAAAAAAAGAATTCTAGACAGATAAGAACAGTCAAGTACAGATTCTTGAGGGAGCATTGTCTCAGATGGACTCTGTTAGAAGCAAGCACAGGCACAGCTCTTTAAGAGAGGCTTCCTAACTTAACATTAGTGGTAAAAAAAAAAAAACAACTTGTAGCTCTTTTAAGAGGCTCTGCCACCAAACACTTAAATGGTGCTTATGAGAAGATACTGGCAGGCTTCTTGGTGGTAGCATGGACCTTGAATCTCCACAGAGTTGTGGCAATAAATATGGCT